GGTAGTTTGAGCATGTGTGGCCTAAATAAGCTAAACCCCCTCCCTTACCTTATTTAGGCCACACTGAGGCCCAAATAAGCTAAACCCCCCTCCCTTACCTTATTTAGGCCATATGTGGCCTAAATAAGCACTCCCATAAATAAACCGCCATCTTTGCGCTTGACCTGCCTCGAGTCGCACCAGCAGTCACCTCTTTGTCTTTGTATTAATTTTCACTGCTGCGCTCTGCTGTGCCCGCTCTGCTTGCAGTGTGGCCAGAGCCTCATACAGTTGCGAGCGCCGTAAACCATTTACCCCCCCCCCCCCAAAAAAAAAGCCAACGAACAATAATAATGACAACATGTAGTGAGTCTAAAAACAAAATGAAGTTTGCATTCAGCAAGATTTTGAACTCATTCAATCGTTCACTTTTCGATGCTCTTCGACCCGCTTGTAAAAAACAGCGAGTTCACGCCTACGAGAGACAAGGTCCAACAGACGGGCGAGTAGTTTTCGAGACGCACGTGATAACGCCTGGACAGCCGGGAAAACTACGTGATTACACTGAAATATAATGGGGGCGCAGTGGTGGCGGTGTCTCAAAATGGGAAATCTGTGGGCTAAATTAGAGTAAATCAGTTATTCTTGTGATCCTCTTCATGTGCCAAAAGGGCGATCTTTAATATATATAGGGCCCAAAGAGAAAAAAAATACTGGACTAAGATTTTAAAAAACAACTAACTTGTTACGTCGCTGGTCTGCACAAATGCCATGCATCGTGGCCGTGGGCGTAAGCATAGGTAAATTCGTGAATGAACTAGAATTTTTTTACGCTGCCAGACAAAAGTGAGCAAACTTCTGTCCAAATTTAACATCCTCAGTGCAAAAAGCTCCAGTGGTCGCTCAGTTGTACAATTTTGTCTTTGAAAAAATTTAGTTGCGCCAAAGTTTGGAGAAAGACAAAAATTTGTTCGACAAGGTATTATTAGTATCAACAAATTCCTTGCATTTAGTGTTGTTGGTGATGGCCTTGGTCAACGAGAGAATAGGACCCCCCCCCCCACACCAAAAAAAAACCCAAAACAAAAAAACAACAACAAACAAACAAACAAAAAACCCAATGATTGTTTGAAACAATCAACTGCGATGTACAACATGATTTGCAGTGATTCGCAATCAGGATCAAGTCAAAGGCTTGCTACGCGCCCCGTTCGGTTTCTTTTGTTTCCGCAAGAGTCAAGCCAACAGCCAATAACTACCCTCCTTCCCCAACCCAAAGACGACGAGTCCGCCAAGACCTCTTTCCCAAAGCCCTTGTTTACGTCACTTTCACCCGTGAACCTACAGCCTCTGTCATTGTCACCCCAAGGAACAAGACTATCCATGGCCATCTTACAATTAATGTTTTAGCCAGACTACTATTTTTTAAAGGTTTATGTTTCCTAAAACATGCTGGTGTGTGGGCAGCCCTCGACTACTGTTGAACCTGATAGGCGTTATCTCTCTATAGTAGTAAGGCTAACACGATATTAGATCTATACGGTAGTCATTTGAGTAATCAACATCACCATCATGCTCCCCAGCCCCATTAGCATAGTAAATTCCTGATGCCTGTTGCATACATCATGTCTGTATTAGCAAGATTTCAGGTAACAAAGAAAAAACATTTCAGACACCCCTAAACGGTAACATGAATACGATTAGAGTCTAATCATTAGACCATCAATCATTCACGGGTGTTGCTCTCCACACCCCCCCCCCCCCCTTTTTTAAATCTTTTTTAAGCAAGAAAAAAATGCATACACATCAGATTACCGGGGAACAACAGCAGCTGCTGTGCTAAGGCAATACCCTGGTAGGCCTATCAATGCACAGGGTGGTGAAATCAGGCGCTGGTCAAAATAAAAATAAAAAAATAAAAAAATAATGAAATCGAAGAAACCGGCGTATTCCCCCTCTTTATAGCGATTTTTATTGAATGGG